AAAATATAAATAACATTTGAAACCGTACAAGGAGTAGTTCACTTCTGGAGTATGCAATTCTGCTTTGTATTCTTTCTTACCACTTCTCACAGCTCTTCACATTCTTTTACATAACTCAATGAAGAAATCACTGATTTTATTATCAGATAATTATAATTTTGCTCACCTGGAACATTGGCATTTGAGGAGCCTGATGAACGCAGCTCTGAAAGTCCTGTTAAAGATCGTGTAGATCACCGGATTGATCGTAGAGGACACGTAACCGAGCCACAAGCACGTGTTCACCACGTGCGCAGGTACTGAGCATTCGGGACAGGCAGCGAAGAAGATGTTCAGAAGGAAGAACGGTGCCCAGCAGAGGACGAACGTGAAGAACACGAGGCCCAGTACTTTGCTAGCCTTCTGCTCCGTGGCTACGGCGTTCGCAGCCAGGGACCTCCTCTTCGTGCGACCCGCGAGGAACCTGGATGAGAAAACAAAATGTAAGCCAGTTAGTCGAAGTCGTCGAAGCTTGCGATCATTTGCATGTGCAAATGACGTTCCACGCTTGAGGGCTAATCCGATGGACGCGGATTCATTTCACGTTGATATACAATCCCCGTGTCGTGTCAGGGTTTCCCCGGGCCGGGCAATCTACGCGTGCCAGCGGCATCAATTTCGCGATTACTTCTTGAACGAAGTGAATCGTGATGAACGTCGGGGATAATTGGTTATGCATCGTTGCACGACGCGTTAATTTCGCTCTCGCTTAAAAGTTCCCGCTTTAATCCCCGTCCGGCCCAAGGAGAAACATCCGGGTTTTTAAGCTCCATTCATATATTATTCTAGCCTAATTACACAGTTCTTTTTCAAACTGAATCGAGTCTACTTCTCGCCACGAAAAATTCGGTACCAAATGTGATTTAAAAATCACTTTTGTAGGACAAATCTTTACGCAATTTTAGAACCTCTTTAAGGATGTATAGGCTATATACTACTATATTCTTATGGTAATTACATTTCCCGTAGGTAATTGGAGTGCCTACAACTTTTACTTAAAGTCTTTTTCGATATTTTGATGAAACAAAAATTTTCGATTTTTCCGAGATTTTTCCAAGGGGTACCCCTTCAGATTTTGCAAAATTTTCGTTTTTTGCCAATAACTTCGAAACCGTTGGAGATATGAGAAAATTGCATGAGACCTTTCTTGTAGAGGACGACGAGATCTACAATTTCCATGTAAAAATGTTACGCTAGCATCAATAGTTTACGAGTAATTTACAAAAAACTGTTTTTTCGTTTTTCGTCAATAACTCGTTAAATATTAATGCTAGCGAAAAAATTTTACATGGAAATTGTAGATCTCGTCGTCCTCTACAAGAAAGGTCTCATGCAATTTTCTCATATCTCCAACGGTTTCGAAGTTATTGGCAAAAAACGAAAATTTTGCAAAATCTGAAGGGGTACCCCTTGGAAAAATCTCGGAAAAATCGAAAATTTTTATTTATTATTAGCATTGTTCTTCCGACGTCTGATTTCTTTTTAATTATAGGAAATGTGTTTTTCTAAGGTACATAAACTTTTGGGATTGACTGTATAGCCAATACATCCTTAATTTCTATGTACAAACACATACGCAATCATTGACACGAGAATCAAATGTATTTTACCTGAGATTGAGGGTGTTCGGCGTGACGTTTAGTTGCAGCCTCAGAGCCCTCAGAGTGAAATTCCTTGTTTCGCGCGCAATGTTCTCCGGCGTTTGAGTATCCTGATCCACTTTCGACGGCAGTTTCGTCGCGCTTCCGGCCGAGTTACCCGCGCCGTTCACGGTAGCGAAATTCAGCTGCGGTTGAGACTTTCTCGGCCTCGCGCCCTTGCACCTGTTATATTTGTAACGTAACAGAGGCCCCGTGTTTAACTCGGTTAAACTACAAAACTGTCCCCGTCGGGAGACGTCGCCTGCTCGCTGGATTACGTCAAACGCGCTTCGCGAGGACAATACTGCGTCGCGTATACATATTTAGATTACAAGAGACAGCGCGGGAATTCTCCAGCTTTTTCTCACTCACGTGGAAATAACAAAATAAAAAAAGAATTTGCCTGAACAAATATATTATAATAAAAGAAATACTATTTTTAATATAAACGTCAGTCTATGTAATTTAGTTTTTATTTCTTGGTAGCATTTAATTGGGATTTAATTATGCTGGTCGGTGACTGAAGTTCAAAGGACAAAACATGTTTCAGTCTTTAATACGTTGAGGCCCCAGGCCTGATTTTGGATGGTCAGAATTTTAAATACAGGGAAATGATGGACTAGCATAATTATATTGTTTCATACTTCCATCTCAAGGATCAGTGGACATGGCACTAATCTAACAGCACTCAATATTGCAACAACTTATCTTCAACATTGTAACATTGCAATTGCTGTACAATGTTGCTGTAACATTCCAACAAAAGTGCATTTATACATTGCAGTGCAACATTATAGTAACGTTACAGTAACGTTCCTCACAATTTTTATGTAATTGTTGTATCAATATTATTGGGAAAACATAGTATAAT